CGGAAATACATATCAATAAATTTGTTGTCTGTTTTGGTACGAACTAGTTATCTTAAATATGGAAAATAAGAGTGGCAAAATTGTAGAGATGGAATTTGTAGTTGCATTCTTATGTAAAAATAAACCTGTATTCTTGTGTGGGTTTATTTTTACACCGTACTGAAAACTGGCATTTATTATTCGAAAAGGGTACTCATGTTACATATAGTTTATGTCGACAAAAGATTCGAAATAAACTGGATAATTGTACTCATAACACAGCGAGAGTATGTGAAATATTTACCCAGTGTACCCACTTCTTAGAGTAGGTACGTAGGTACTGCTTTATTTCTAATACCGATACACATTTACAAAATGATTATCATATCAGAGCAAATGTTATACAGGGCGATTTAGTCATAATGTCATTAACTTTAACTACTCATTCGGACCATTTAAGCAAATTACCTCTTAATTCCCGCTAATTCGGTGCCGTATTTTCCATCACATTTTCTGACTGGGAACGCGCCGGCGAACCGCAGAGAGTTCGAACGTTGAAGCAAAACAGTTGATATCCCCAGTTGTTTTGAATTTTGCAATTGGTTTCAAAATCAAAGTGCAGCAGATCCCAACTTGATTAACAAGGTGCTATGGATGGATAAGTGTTGCTTTAACCGTACTGACATTTTGAATAGGTAGGTACAATACTAATCTTTGAAAAGCAATGAGTCACTAGGTTACGTACTACAAACTGAATAATTAACATAATACTAAAAACTCGTATTAATTATAAAACATAGTGAAAACGTTAACAATATTAAAAATACTCAATTGTAGTAACCTAACATTCGAAAACAAATATTATTCTTATAAATTTGTTTTTATTAACAAATAAATAATACTCGTTAATATTTAATATGTAAAAAAATATTATTCATTCATGTGCCTAGGTAAAAACATGTCTTTATTTCTTGTCGTTCACTACGCATTGAAAACGCAGTAAAAACTAGGTTAGTGGCCGAATAATACGATAGGTCAAGTTTCACTCTCGATAAACCTTTGTGGGTCAGCGGCCAGGAGCGGTATGAAAAGGGGTTTAAATAATAATTTGAAAATATTTTTTCAGCGTTGCTTGCATTTTAATTATTTTTTTATCGCGTATTCGTATTTTACTCATATTTCCCTGTCCCCCTTAAGATTAATGACATTAAGACATAATCACCCTGTATATACATTTTTTTAACACATGTGCTTCTCCTACATCTTTCTCAAACTGTCTAGAATATTTCTTCAGTATTTTTAATTAGACGACATCGAGCAAAAACTTTTTTTTGACTGTTAATGAGAGTTGCATAGAGCAATAATTTCAAGTGATCAAATAGGTATAAATTAATCTCCTTCTACCCATTTGTGGCTGATTATTAAAGTATTATTAAAATCTAGTATGTTAATAATAAATAAGTTTGAGTACCGTCATGCAAAAACCATATATTCTTACGCCGGTCTAGAGAAACAAATAATTAGTTAAGCCAGCCACGTTCGATTAACTAAAAAGGAGATCAATTAGTGTTAAGGCATCAAAGGTTGCAGATAAGAGGTATAAGGTTCACATGTTTGGAGGAACAAAGGTTACAATAAGTCGATCCTCAAATAGTGTCATACATCATAGGAAAGTTTTCTTGATGTCTGTTTTCAAAGAAAGTATAGGGATATGCATTTGCCTGCTTTTAGGTATTATAAAAATTCATCATTCCATTTCGCGTAAATTCAATTTTATCCATGCAAAGAATTTTGAGTAACGAATTAGTTTTTTCAGGATTAGAGGTGTTCCTATACTGTTGTACTAAATTCGTACAATTCAGTTTCAAAAAGTACAACAGTACCTCTCTGCATTTTAAAGTACAATTTAAAATTTTCCAAAAATGAAATATTTGATTTCAGTCATTATCATATCACAAATTATTCCTTTATCGTTTCTAACCCTTGTAATTCATGATCGTTTAAATTTCCCGCCCTCTTCCCTATTCTGTTTCTCTGTTTGATTCACTTTCAGCTCGATAAGCATTTCAATTGGACTCTGTTCCTTTTCCTTATCAATTTATTTACGTAGTAGAGTTGTCTCTGGAGGTATTACTCATAAGAGAGAAATACGTAGCCTTCATGTCTCTCTAAAATAAGGATAGTTTACAGTGTAAATTTAGTCCAACTTTGGGGCAAAATGTGCACATTATTTTTCGCTCGGGAACAACCCTGTTCAAGATATTGATGGGGGCTTAGAATTTGAACAGGTGTTCTGGGATTTTCTTCAATTCGTTGTAAAATTCGTTTTTCTGCATTGGGGTTACGAACATATCTTTGGTTGGGCTGATTACCTCGAGTTTAGCTGAAAAGAACCAGTATGCTTTGCCGGATATTCTTCTTTTCTTGTCTAATTTCCTCGAAAACAGTCACTCCTAGGGATACTCAACGAGAATACAATTTTTGCAGGAAAATATCATTGTTCTCAGTCATTTCAAGAATACATTGAAATAACAAATAATACTAATAGGGTAAAATGGTTCTAATTTTATAATTTTCACTTTTATTCTAACCCTCGTATTTTTTATCTTTCTATCTAGGAAAAAATGATAAGGACGAAAATTTAGAAAATTTCTTACAATTTTTAAAGCAACATTAAAAATAATTGACTGTAGCATTTAGTATAAATAAAACATTATTTGTAGTTTTTTCAATTCTCTTTTTCCTATTGCAATTATATCTATTTGCTTTGATAGTTTGTACAAACTTTGGGATTTTTACCGTTAAATTTACTAAACAATTCTTTAAATTCTCTATTAAGAAAAAATAATTTATTATAGAAATTATTTCCTATTACCTTCATTCTATTACAGACAAAGGGTAAATAAATCTGTATTCCATGACTTTTTTAATGAATTATTACCCACCGTATTGATATTCTTCTTCATTCGATATTTTCTCCCTTAGGTCGTACAAATTTATTAGACCTTTCTTTATTTACTTTATCTTTCGGAATGCCCTATAGAAATAACTATATTGGGGTCAAATTGGTCATGTGAATAAAAAAAAATATTTCTTCATATGAAAAATTTATTAGTACTTTTATAAATATGTAATGGTTCCGTGGTAATCTTGACTTCATATATTGTGGAGGTTCAGTAAATAGGCCAACAGATTGTGCAAATTATCAAAGCAAATATATTACATGTGTATATAACTGCAATCAGAAAAAAGAGCATTTCAGTAAGTGTAAATATACAGGCTGTTCCATTAAAAAAAACAAGAGTTTACTTTTTATCTTCGAACACAACAATTAAGAGTTTTTAAATATATTTCATTGATTTGTCAATACAATTTTTGCAATCTCAGCAGGGCATTCGACTGTGAAATCACAATGTACTGTTAGATAAACTAGAGAAATATGGTATCCGAGTTGTTGTATTACTATGGATAAAAAGTTTTCTCTATAACAGAACTTTCAGAATTCTCAGTTTGTGTCTGTCTATAAATAATATTGATTCTGTTATACAGTAGTAGACGGGATACAATTGAATGGCCGCCAAGATCCCCCGACTTAACACCCCTGGATTATTTTCTTTGGGGATATTTGAAAGAAAGAGTCTACCAGGACAGACCGGATAATATTGAGAATTTAAAGAACAAAATTAGGGCGGAGATGCATAATTTACCAGCTGAAGTCATTCAGAATGCGGTGGACAGCATTACTATCGTCTTGGAGAATGCCAAATTTTAAAAAAAATTACTTTATTCCGTACTTCTGGCCATCCCTGTATATATAGAATAGCAGTCGGTGTACCACAGGGTTCTATATCGAGTCCTGTTCTGTTCTTGTTGTACATAAATGACTTGGCAAATTTGTTTACTGCAGCATATTTTACTTTATATGCAGATTAATAATTTTATCTGACAAATTAGATAAAAATTTAACTAATATAAGTAAGGATGTTCTGTCAGATATGAGTGAATGGTTTTCTCAAAATTTTTCGTATTTGAATCCCTATAAGATCCAATGTTTTGCACACTCGAAATACTATTTATTTCGCTTTATTACCCCGCAAACTAATATACTTAAAAATATTCTTTTTTTATGAAATGTGTTCCAGTTTTAGAATATTGTACTGTCTTCTTTTAATCTCATATATACAGAACTTATTATGTACTTTCCTGCCCTGTATGTATGTAATTGGATATCCTGTAGAGCATTGTATGTTATAAATAAATAAATAAATAATATCAAAAGATGTACTTTCTATACCAAAAGTATCAGGATATTATATCTGACCATCCTGTGTATTTAAAATAACTTTTTTTACTATTCTGACAAGTTCCATCTGCTGTTAAAGTTTGGAATACCTATAACTTTGTACAATGTCTAACTCTTTTAGGATTTTCCTCCACCAATGCAATGACAAATAACGGATTTTTATTTAGCTTTTCATTGTAACTTTTATGTCCTGCTATTTTGTAGTTGGGTACCCGCTGAGCGAGAGTGTAAACTCTGTTATACAGTGCAAAATAAAGTAAATAGGAAGGAAAAAGAAAAAATGATAATCTCTTGCTATAAAAGAATCAGTGAAACGGGTTGTTGTTGTGTTATAAACCTATTTTTGCCTCACATTGACAAAAGACAGATAAAAGTCCTTAATTTTTTTCACTGCTACTTCTGGCGCATGGGGCTATTTAATGAGATTTACTTTATTTTATTTAGCATGAAAAAAAGAATAAAATACTCGATAATGCTAGTCAAAAATAAAGAGATGATAATAGATATACTGCGTTATATATTTTTTAAAACTAAAATATTTTTAGATATTGTGATACTATATCTTCGATATGTCAAAAGTCGATTTATACATATATGTAATTAATATACATATTCATCTAATTTTATGTGTATATAAATCTTTTAAACTATAATTTTTTAAGTGACACCCCTCTATTGTATATTTGATTGATTGTACTCCATCAAGAGATAAGACACATTTATATTGTAACATTGATTTAATAAATCTAAGACATTGCCAGAAAAGGCAGCACTTGAAAGGGAGTAATAATTAAAATCCTACTTTACGAACAAGTCTTTAAGAGTTGAGCAGATCGAAGAGTCGCAGGTTTCTGTTGCTTCCTCATCGCCTTTAGAAAACCAACTTTTAGAACGGCCAGCGGCCCCTTTTCCAGTGCCCCCTTTGTTGTTATTTTTGGTGGGCGAAATATTTTGTGATTGCACACTCGTGGTTTCTGGCGAGGCTTGCCTTAGGAAAACTTCAATGGCACTTCCTAAAGCGTGAGGATCTACTATAGAGCCACTTCTTTCATCCCATACTACTTTTCCTGGTTCAGTTTCAACTACTTTCTTGTTATCTTTAGGTTTTTCTTTGATAGCAGCCGTCTGTGGTAATTTTTTATATTTATTATCGTCAGTCTTAATTGGTTGATGTCGCTTTACGAACCAGTTAGATGGGGTTGGCATAGATTTATTTTGTTCGCCAAAATATTCAGTATCATGTAAAATCGATATGTCAAAACTGTTGGACCTGTTACTCTTCAAACGACTACGTCTTTGCTGAATGTTTCTGGAATTGTCTTTGTCTATTTGGGAGTCTTTGTCGCATTGATTTATTTCAGTGGCAGATGTCGAAAGAGAAGAAAGAATAGAAATAAGATCAGTATTAGAACAAACAATTCCAGATGACGGAGTTTTATATGCACTCGTTGATGGACCAGAGGTTGTGGGTGGCTGCGGCAGCTCGGATGCTCTCCGTTTGCTAACACTTGGAATGGGGGCAAGAGTAGTACCTACGAAATCAGAAAATCGGCGACCAGAATTGGTGTAGCGTTGAATACTTCCACTCTCATCCAAAGGCTGAACTTCACACACTTTTTCGCTACTAGTATTCCACATCTTCATTCTTACCTTCCGAGCCTGTACTATGTCATCCATAATGTCCAACTGCAAATTATGTACACTTCCTCTAGGTTCAGTAGAAGGGGGGCATGCAATCGATTCTCTTCTATTTGGTAGGATACGGTTAGGAAAACCACCTGACGGGAAAGCAGCAACAGATTCCCGTCTATTTCGCCCAAAGAAAGCAGGGGGTACCTTAGAGATGGTAACAACTGAATGTCTGCGACCTCCAGAAGGTTGAGGCGCAGACGAGAGCGTAGCTAGAAACTCTGCCTGCCTCGGACCTGGTTTTGTAGTTTCACCTCTCTCTGAAAGCCTCCTAACCTGACTAGCAGTAATACCACTACATTGTGGAGTTGGTAAAGAGTGTTTACGAATTTCACGAGCATATGGTGAAAGCAGATAGGGATTCATGGAGGCCGATTCCTCTTCAGAGCTTTGACGTGAAGGGTTTTCAATGTATTCTTCTTCATGCTCTTCATCTTCAACTACTATAAGGGGCTCTGATGTCTGCGATTGCAGAATGGCGTTGGATGATCTCCTCATATTTAGAGCTGAATATCTGAAAAGAAGAGAAAAGTATTAACACAGTGGAATGTCTTAATAAAATGATAATCAAGCACATTATTTCAGAATCTGTAGGTTTTTTTTACAATTTTTCTAATATTTTAAACATGAAATATGTTACATAAAGCCACGTTAAAAGTGAACAGACAATCTGAAAATGCAATATTATATAGGGTCCTATTAAAAAACCAATATTGGGCATCATTTTAGTAATCCATTATCAAATTTGGTGTAATTGTTTTTTCTGATATTAACATTAAAAGAACCATGGAACAGTGGACCAGCTGTATGTGGACATTATTGATGATCTTATTAAATATGTTCCATTTACAAATTTTTTCAGGCATCGACCATCCTAGTAAAAGAAATGCTAGTTCCACACAAAAGCTGATACAGTCCAAATCATTATCATTGGGGAAGTGTTTGTAAAGTTCTACAAATTGTTTTTTTTTACGGATTGATGGAATATATTTATTTATTTAAACAACAAATGTTAGTTTCCAGCAACTAGAACAATGCCCTTTCTTCATAATAAATAACTCTTCTATTTAATTCTAAAAAATAACTGTGTCTGATTGTACATTAGTTTTCTGATACTTGTTCATGCGCAGTTATTAATTACACTTGAAAATTTTCTATAAATTTAATAATAATTGAATTTCCATTTTGTATCACTATTCTAGAAGCATAGGAAATGGATCAAAATTTCTTTAATTAAAAACTGTGTGTAATTATATTAATTAAGTTGTCTTAAGTAGTATAGTTGTTAGATACGCTTTTAAAAAACGTTACTGTCCTATCATATAAAAGAAGATACGTGCATAGACATATTTGTTAAGTGAAATGTTATGAATTTATTTTAGTGTTTTAGACACTAGTGGCTGGTGAATATTGAAATGGCCGTACTTTGATAATGTAGCACGGGATTTATATCGGGTTTTTAAGGGATGATTTCTGAGCTCACATAGAAAACTGTCATGATGAAAAGTTTTAGAATAAAAAATTAAAATAAGGGGTGCCGACTCTGAAATCTCGAGAAGAGTTACGCATATTTATCAAAAAAATTTTATATCAACTAATACATACAAATAGGCGTTATTTTTAACAGAATTAAATATTTTTTATATTTTCATTTTAATTTAATAAAACTTCTTATTTTTCAAACTCCATAGTGTTGTAATTTTAAGAAAACTGTTGTTTGTATCTATTAGGAAAAAATATTTCCAAATATACGTGCAACCCTTTTTGAGATTCCAAGGTAAACAACTCCTAATTTCAATTTTTATTTCATAATTTTTTAAAAATGTTTCGTTCATGAACCTATACACAGTTTGAGAGTTTTAGATTTCCCAATTCCCAAAGTAAAAATATACTGGGTGTTCCATTTAAAATAACCAAGTTATTGCTGTTTAAAGTTGAGAGAAGTATTCAGCTGTTTTTTGAACACCCTGTATAATACTAAGTGACGACAAATATAACAATTTATAACTTCAAGGATCTAAAATAGACCCTCCAAAGCTGCTTCCTTAAAATTATTTTTTTATTGTTAATATTAAATTTCTACGCTATGCTTGCATTTTCACTAAAATTGAAATATCTCACAAACTATAAGTCCTAGGTATGCAGAACCTTTAATAAAGTTCACCTATTTTTTTACGATGCTTTCAAAAAATGCAGTAAAATACAGGGTGCTCCATTTAAAAAACATAACTTTGATATGGTACGCTTTTCCTGGACACCCTGTATATTTCAAAATATTTTTAATAATCAAGTAATCAACCTACACATACCCACCTAAACAGGTTTCTATAACATTTGCCGTTTGGTCACTAGCGACCGAGGCGTTACTGTACATATTATTAATATATTATTTGTAAGATATAAGGTACATTTTATGTAGTTTCCATGGAAATAAAAATAGTATATGAGTTTTGTATTTGATTAGGTAAATCTTTGAAGCCTGTGACAGAAACGGTTTCGTCCAACTAAACGCAAAATCCTTATTCTTATTGTACAAAAACTTTCGGTACAAACGTACTTTAAAGAACCTTTGCATTTTCACTCCTCTCATCTCAGCACTGATAAAGTCGTGTTTTTGTATTAAAAAAATCCATAACCATTAACAAACCTACTTCTGGCAACTTAGATTGAGTTGAAATTTTCAGGATCGCCTAATCATGAGCAATACTTTGTGTATACAAAATAAGAATGTTTTTGAAAATTTACTGAATGACCCCATTGTGTGCTCCAATAATTTTTGTGAAACTTTCAATTAACAACCAGATTTGTATTGAATATTTATTGGAAAATGTGATAATTAGTTACTCGAAAAACCACAGAAAAATTTTACGCCGAAGAAGTCCGAGACTGAAGTTAGAAAGTTCTCTGGAAAAATATATGGACATATTTATTTATGAGTACAATAGGTAATTCCACTAAAATTATAATGTCACCTGCACAAAAAAAAATATGAACTACTTATCGGTGGGAGTATTTTGCCCATTTCTGTAAACGTAATTACTTAGGTTGTCATATTCAAAAGTTACATCCATATAGAAGCTGTAGCATGTCAAGTTTCATTAAAGCGTTTTAATTACTTAAAAAAAAAACGAAAAATTTTAACGACTGACGGTCTCTAATGGTTAAATTAAGCAACTTCAAATATAGATAAGCTTAGTTACATATAGCGTCTTATTTTGGTCTCACGAATATGTAGTAGTAGTAGTATGTGTAGTTCCATGTACTCAGAATATTAGGACACACTGTCTATATTTTGTGTTTTTTGTTGTAATTAGAGAAATTACGATTTATCAGAAACTACTCCAAGAATATGGGGTTACTCACGATCCCATTTAAAATTGCTGAGGTAAATACGACTGTGTCACATTTGTTGTGTTGTCAAAATGTTTGCCTCGCTAATTCTCAGAAAACTCATTCTGTCTATTACAGTTGTAGGGGGTCACGTTTTCGTTAAAAGTTCGTAGAGAGATGTGCATTTTAAAAGAATTTTGGATTCCAGATTTTATATAATTTATTGCTGATATAATTAAAAAAACTGTTTTTCTCTATTACGCCTAATATAAATTAACTTTGTGTCAAATAAATTACAAGTAAGCTAAAATATGTTTCAGGGCTATATCTACCTCTTGGAGAAAATTGGTTTTACAATTTGTGTGCCTTCTGAGCCACTGTAATTTTTATTAATTCCAATAAGTAAAGTGCCTTTGGGTCTGGCTCTTCATCATTAGCTGTTTTCTGCTTTATCGCCGTTTACTTTTGGTTTCTCCAGGGTTTCTATTAGAATCCTACATAATGCCTCATTGCAAAAGTTAAGGACTAATTGGAAATTTCCAGCTTATATTCCAATTAAGAACTTTTTCTTAACGCCTGTATTAGGACATTATTGACTGATTACCAAATGGAATTACGTCAATTTAACATTTTTTTTTCTATTTCCATGTAAGGGAACGTAAAAGAAAATTAGTCACAGGAAGTGGGAATATCATCACAACCAAATAAAAAAAGAATCATGCGATATTATTTTTAGTTGGCTATTCAACATAAAGGGCTTCATTTGAAGCACAAATTTCCATTTAAAAAGTTCGACCATATTGCTTGTGCATTTGTATTTAACAAATATTTAGATATCACATGAAAATTACGGAATGCGATCATAAACAAAAAGCCAAACTGTAGTATGAAGCCACCATCAACCATCCCAAAACTATCTAGCATATTCAAACTTGTATGGAAAAAGCCACTTTATGGTCTCCACTTGAAAAGACGTAAAAACAAGTTGAGATATAGTAATATTACATGGCCAATGCTATTCAATGTCTAGGCTTTCAAAATGTCAAACTGACAAAGAGCAATGTCTTCAAATATAGAATTTGCTTTGCCTAGTTATCCTCCATCTATAGTAGGTAAGTTCGAAACCGGTATATGTCTGGTGGATTTGACAGGTGAATTATCCTATACATTTATCAGATATTGTAAGTACAATTAGATGCTGGTCGGTTGATGACAGCTCATATTTAAAAAACCAGAGCTCAGTGATTTGTACACCACAACCATATTCAGTGGAGTGATACAACGCCTTATATAGGTATGATCATGTTTTTTTCCATATTAACAGATTTTTTATAAGAAATCCATGGTTGATAATGCAAGGAATTTGTTATAGATAGCTTAAATTGTGGTAGTTTTTTTAGATGTACATATTACGAGACGACCTACAAGCTTTGTCGAATAAATCTTGCATAAATAATTTTTTTGGAAAATTTTGCTTGGAAAATGATTGAGACTGAATATACAGACGAAATATATTTCTAGACCGAAAGTAGAAGGCTTTTTCCAAAGATACATTTTTTCAGAAAGAAAAATTATGTAAAATTTTAGTTATGTAAATTTTGTGTGTCAAACTCAGAAGTCAAGGCGTATACTTTAAGATTGTTTCCCAAATGAAAACAATAGTTTAGTTTTTACTTACTTGATTATCTAATAGTATTAACAAAATATATAACATACTTTAAAGGACCCCGCACAAAACCAATGGAAAAAGACTTTTTGTCAAATGTAGATCAAAAGTCTCCATGGGCCCGACCACCGCCTATGCACGGTTTTGAAGATAGGTACGTGAGCTGAAAGTCACTCAATATAGCCAAATCTGCACTTAGCGTTACACAGAATTAAAGGCGTGGACGTGGCAGATGCTTGACCCCATGTGTGTGTGTTAAGTGTAATGTTTCAATATCCAAGTAGACAATCCTTGATAATGCTATTCGCCCCCGAGAACATTGGATTTGGGGCTATTGCCCGAGAAGATTATGTAGAAAGGCAAGTGACTCCATTTGCGAATCGTTTGTATGTTTCTGCACCATAGGAATCATATGGTGTTGCTACACCATAGGAACTAAAAGCAGTCACCTATACATGACTGCACTTACATAGATTTTGAGAAGAGCTATTGTTTTAAAGCACTAAGACAATCGCACT